CCCCCAGCCCTCACAGCAATTGTGTTCTCCTGGTGTAAACATTCAGGGGTGGGTTTGGTTTGGTTTGGTTTTTGTTTTGTTTTCATTAGGGCAGGGATTTCCGCTCAGTCTTCCAGAAATCAAAGCTGTATCAAAAGTTTTGAACTTCGCATTTGAACGCTGTTTTTTGTTGTTGGTTTTGTTCTAGTTTTTTAACTGTATTGGACCTCCTCCTGCTCAGCTCAGACAAAACCACATGTGCACAGCTGCCTGGCTGGGGGTAGGGGTGTGGTGAAAAGAAAAGTGCTGTAAAACCAACGAGTTTTTTTTCAATTTCCTTTGTCATTCTGGCACTGTACCTAGCACACACCGCGTTAAAATTTGCTCTGGCCTTTTGCCTCCATCACAAACTACAGGGAGGCACTGCAGGGAACTCACCTCTCCAGTATGCCAGGAGCCTTCAGCTAGTACTGAAACTTCACATTATCCATGGCCGGTTAACATCCACATTTTTTTCTCATCAGCTTTGTTTTGAAGCTTAAATGGATCCTCTCTCCTGGTATTTGCACTGTGATGTGTTTAGAAACAAATTAATGGCCTTTCCCTGCTTTTGCCAAAAGGAAAAAACAAAGAAGCGCCCACAAAATACATCTCCCACTTCTGTTTACCACACCAGTCTTTCATCACAAGGGTTGTGCTTGCAGCGTCTTCCTTGAATACTGGCTATCCACAATGCTGTGCTGGTACAGGTGATGGGTTACCTTAATTTTCAGCCAGCTTTTTAGTGACTTCAGCCCACAGGGTGCTCTGATCTTTCCACACACTGACACACCTTTCTGACTTTGAGTTGAGCCTCCTTTTAGTTCCCATGTCCTGCTACGAGTGGCTGGCGCTGTGCTTGACCTACTGAACTGGTAAGCCCCTGTGGCCAGACTGCCATCCGGCCACGCTGGCCGTCCCATGTCCTCTGGCCCACGCTCTCCGCACACCACAGTTCCTGAGCTAGGTGCCTGCAGTGCATACTTTTCTGAAATTAGAGGGCCCCCTTGCATTAACGATACCGTATTTACCAAGAAATACATGAATAGCAAAATCCAGGCACAGCTTTCCTGGGATGACCCTATGGCGAGTCCCTCCTCCTGGCAAAGGTGAAAAGCTCCCGCCTGCCACTGTCCCAAGCGGGCGTCTGAGTCAAAGACCCAGCCCCACCACGAAGGGCTGCCGATGCCTTGGCAACCCCTCCCCGTATCACCGCAGGAACTAGCACCCTACCTATGTACGGCTGCTCCTGGACAACGAGCTGGTGTTGCTTTGATACACCTTTCTACAAAGCCCAATGGGAGCACACAAAGGCGAGCGTTCGCGTTGGTTACAGAGTTTTCTGTTTCGCCGAGCAACTCCCAGCGTTTCACGTTGGCCTTTGCAAGGCACATTTGACCTTCCTGCTGCCTCCGAAAGCATTCGCTATCTCAACGTCCTGTGGAGGAACATTTGGAAAAGGAAGGGGAGGAAAAATGCAACATTTGACACTGGAGGAGAAACTTCCCGAGGACACTGTTTATTTGTGCAAAAGCACACTAGCTAATGATGAAGCTGCTGCTAGGTGTATTTGAGAGTTTAACAACAGACTGTATCTAAACACAGCAGAGTGTCTTCGTGAAGATTTGGAATAGAATAGCTTGGGAATGGAAGGAGAAGATACGTACGTATATCTGCCAGCAGATACAAGCAGGGGTTTAGCCAGACGTAGTTCAGCCTTTGTCTCTTTTGCACTTGAAAAGTGATTTCTTATTTCTGTGTATTAATCATAAAATGCTCATGCAAATAACACTCTCAGTATTATAGCCTAGAACCTAAACCTTTCTTCATTTTTCAGGCAATGAACCTAAAATACAGCTATGGCTTATCTTTGTAAAATGCATTTTGAGATTAATTTGGACATCCCCCCCAAAAAACATGCAATGGTTTTCAAGTTTAGGCCATGAGGACTGCTTTGAAACTTGAATTTTTACTCTATTTGGCTACACCTTCTTCTTCCTCTCATTACAAGACGAACGCTTGTGACAAGTTGTCATCAGACAAAGGACACCAGCAGGTTCAAAGGCACTACAAAATGTGAGCTCTACCCAAATCTAAGCTACTTAAAGACACTTTAATATGTTAAAAATGGATGAATAACTTGCCACAACCTCTCTAAGGTAATACTACAAGTATTAAGAAACCGCTCCATACTACCTACATCACAAGACTTTTATATTACTAGTAAATGCCTTACAACCAAAGTTCAACACAAAGTTGGATGCATCCAATTGTCCCTCTACAAAATGCAGCTTTGTCACATAATTGTTCAGAAACTTACTATTCTTCATTTTTAAACTGCTTTTCTTCAACATAACACTTCCTCCACCCCAAAATTAGAAACCCTATTTAATAACCATTTCTGTGTAAGGACCAAGGAGGCCCTAAAAGCAGTTATGCTTCCTAACATTTTCACATATTTCTATCTTACATGGAGCCAGGCTGAAAAATCTACTCTTTCTAATTTGCTCAAAATATATTTGACACCGCTGGTTTAAGTAGTAAAAGAAAAAACAACTTTACAAGGTGTACATTTAAAAAGAAGCAGTTCCAGCCCCAAAAAGGATCTTCTGTGACCAAAGCCATTGATTCACTATATGCTTTCTCATTTCCCTGCAACAGGAACGTCTTTGCCTCTTCACCATCATGGGTAATGCAAAACTACAGTTAGGAAACCCTGAACACATGGCTCTGGACTGCAATGTCTCTCAGACATATTGTCCCTCTACAAAATGCAGCTTTGTCACATAATTGTTCAGAAACTTACTATTCTTCATTTTTAAACTGCTTTTCTTCAACATAACACTTCCTCCACCCCAAAATTAGAAACCCTATTTAATAACCATTTCTGTGTAAGGACCAAGGAGGCCCTAAAAGCAGTTATGCTTCCTAACATTTTCACATATTTCTATCTTACATGGAGCCAGGCTGAAAAATCTACTCTTTCTAATTTGCTCAAAATATATTTGACACCGCTGGTTTAAGTAGTAAAAGAAAAAACAACTTTACAAGGTGTACATTAAAAAGAAGCAGTTCCAGCCCCAAAAAGGATCTTCTGTGACCAAAGCCATTGATTCACTATATGCTTTCTCATTTCCCTGCAACAGGAACGTCTTTGCCTCTTCACCATCATGGGTAATGCAAAACTACAGTTAGGAAACCCTGAACACATGGCTCTGGACTGCAATGTCTCTCAGACATATCGGTTTAAATACCCTTAAAATATGACACCCGTCTTCAGAGCTGTCGTGGTTTAACCGCAGCCAGCAAGCAAGCACCACACAGCTGCTCGCTCACTCCCACCTCCCTGGAGGGATGGGAGAGAGAATCAGAAGAGGAAAAGTGAGAAAACTCATGGGTTGAGATAAGAACAGTTTAATAATTGAGATAAAATCAAGTAAAATAGTAGTAGTAGTAGTAATAATAATATACAAAGCAAGTGATGCATGCCCAGCCTGTCCCCAAGCAGCAGTCCCCCTTCCTGGGCAGCTCCCCAAAGTTTTGAGCATGACGGCATACGGTACGGAATAGCCCTTGGGCCAGTCTGGGTCAGCTCTCCTGGCTGTGCCCCCTCCCAGCTTCTTGTGCACCGGGCAGAGCACGGGAAGCTGAAAAGTCCTTGACCGGTGTAAGCACTACTCAGCAACAACCAAAACCATTCTCATCCTAAATCCAAAACACAGCACTATACCAGCTCCTAGGAAGAAAATTAACTTTATCCCCGCTGAAACCAGGACAAGAGCTAGAGCAGTACGCAGCCTTATTTTTGGTGCGACTGCACGCACAGTTGTGCCCCACCGCTCAAGGAGCAGAGCAGACAGCAGAGAAGGTTGTTGGAATACCATAATGAGTCTGGCAACCAAATGCTTTGCATCACCAAACCACAGTCCCACATGCAGGCATACGCAAAGCCACCTGTGGAGAAAAGCGCCCCTGCGTTGCCTACCAGTATGTAAACTGAGGTAAACTCCACTGTATTGTTTTCCTAGAACAGGCATGTCTGTTGCTCCTTCCACAGAAATTAATTCCAGAACGCGCCATACAAGCTCTTTAACACCATGAGTTAAAGAAAGGTTTAACTACCATGCAAATCATGTAACTGAGAGAGCTTAAACCAGTTGAAAATGTAATCGTTAGCCTGTAGTTGCTATTTTTATTGTTTATAGGCATCCTCCTATAAACAAGTTCTTCCTGTAAAACTACGAATAAAACCAGTAGGCATAGGTCAAAATGAATAGAATTAAAAAATAAAAAATGAGGAACACTTTGCATGATGAATTTGTAGCTCAGTGTCAACCACCAGTCACGCACACTTTGCAATAGCTCTGGGCTGCTCTGTTTTTGTTTTAAGTCAGTAGTCTGTGTTCAAATCATTCTTGATAAATGAGCTCAGCTCACTCTGTGCAGGCAACTTTACAAAAGCCTGTTCTTTTCATATGTAAAGGAACCAGTGCCAGCAATCACAGCAAGAGCAAAAGGTAATTTTAAATACTTCTCTGTTGGCGTCTTATTCTGGACCTCACACACTCAGAGAGTCCTGACTGCTTCTAGACATCTCAGGATAAAAATTGTTATTGCAATTCTTTCACGCAACAAGTGCTCACTCAAATTGAAAATTATTCATGTAATAAATCAGAACACCAAACACGTACAGCCAGATTTTATTTACATCCTGAAATCACTTTGCAATTTGCCACGTGCTGTCACTCAGAGACATGTTTCGTATGAAATCCTGGGCTCACAGTCTTGAGAGCTTGACAGAAGTTTGCTTCTACTACACAGGACAAGCAGAGCAGCTTCACTTGTCGAAGCTTCTATGAAGGTTGAAGTCATTTAAGGGTAGTCAAAACTGACATTGTAGGATAATCTCATTTGCATGTTTTTAGAAACCAGAATGTTTTCACCAGCTTTTATAAACAAACAGTATAAAGCAGCTATAGTTATGTTAGAAGTGTTTTCCTTCTTACAGTACTTACATTTTAGCTGGACTAAAATATCAGTATTTATAGTAATTTCAACTACCTGTTTTCTAAAGGCTCTTCTACATTTTTTGAGTCTTTTCGTTTCCACAGATTTCCAAGCACAATCCCTATGAAGAGCAGAACTCCTACAGTACGATTCGAAGCAAATTTCTTCCAACAGTCTTCAGGTTTGTCTATGTCCAAAGTGTAAATCTGCAAAAGCACAATATAACATTCTAGCATTATTATTCTACAGACTCATAAATATTTGACACATCACAAAGAGACACAAAAAGATCTGTAACTTCAAAAACTGAATGTCAAATTCTGAAGTCCACCCTTACCTCCACAAGAAACAGGAATACTCTGGGCTTACAAAGAATTTTTTGCATAACTGGCATCTATGTTTGACTTGACAGATTTATTCAACATACAGCAGAGAAGTCGAGGATCACATGTGAACATGATTCCCGGACCCTCTCGATGAAGGACTGTATAAACAGCCTGGATATTGGTGTGTCTGGTTTGATATTTAAAAATGTAAAAATATCTGGGCATGTAAATAAGTCTTTTTGAGATTTTCCTCCGTAGGTGGCCACCTGATTCTTCAATGGGAACTTTAAATAAAAATACCCCCCCCAAAACCTTCCTGCACCTTTAAATCTCTGCTGCAAGGTGTTGCTCTGTGTTTCAGTAGAGACAAAGCACTGGAGAGCCAGCAGTGAATCAGGCTAACTGGAACGCACAGGACGGTGCCCAGCCCTGCCTAGTCACACAGGGCTGGTTTAGTCCAGTCGCTCTTAGCCGTGTCCGTTCAACTCTCTTGCAAGAAAGAACCGGGACACCTGCAACAACAGCTAGAAGCAAGGCTTGCCCAGCTTGGCAGCTGTCTGCTGTGAGTCACAACTCAAGGTGAGAAAAACCACACAGCGCAGCAAAAGCAAAGTTACTGAAAAATATTTCTGGAAACAAAACTTGGTGCAAAAGTCTTAAGAAGGATGACAAGAGGAAATGTTAAGCAAAACAAGTGAAAGGATTAATAGAAAAGTGCCCCCCAAAACCTCAAACCTTGCAATTCAGCCTCTGAAGAAGTCAAAACCAAACGTATCCTACTAAAAGAAGGGAAACCTTCCCTGGGAAACCTGATCCTCTGCCATCTACAGTTGTAGAGAGGCTACAGGGCTGGGTTCTGATCAAATAATCTGAAACATTGTCCACAAGCTTCTAAGACATGATGTTACCCACGCCCTTGAAAACCTGTCAGCCCTTCAAGCACAGGGAACTGAAAACACTGAACTGACAAATAAAACCCAACAGCGGCTAACTCACAAGACAGACCTTCAGAAATGCAAAGCAAATAAAAGATGTTCTTTTTCTGTCAGTGAACTTCTCGCGTGGGATAGAAATTTGACATCTCCATGACCCAAATTCCTGTGTCTCAGGCACAAATTTAATGAATTAAGGAAAACCTACCCCTCATGCAGCTTACTCAGCTTTCTAAACTCAGTTAAGTTCAGAAATCTTGCACAAGAAGATAAGCATGAGAATGTTTAGGCAGAACTAAAAGTCATCACTCAAAGAGAAGCTACTCTGTGGTACGCAGAACAATGCTGCTCTTGTGACTTTGGCACTCTACACAAATGTTGTGTGCTCTTCACCACTCGCATTCAATAGGTCTGCATTCTCACTTATCAAAACCTTCCCTGCAGGAAAGTAATTTCCATTTGCGCCAAAACTACAATGTAAGGCCTCTGACAATACAAACTGTAAATGATTATGCAGCGGAACGTAGTATTCTTTCCCTCACAGATTTCCAAGCACAATTGCTACGAAAAGCAGTGGCTGACAAGTACCAGACTACATCATCACAAGAATTTTCTTACTCAGAGGTATGTTCCACATCCATCACCTGCGTGAGCTCCCCCCATTAAAGTGTAACGTAAGTCTAATGTGCTTTATAAAGTTTCATGTTAACCACAGACTTAACTTCTCAAACCGCTGATGGTTTTACTACTTGCAAACCACTTTGCTATCACTCACCTATCAAGACCAGCAATTAATTTTCATACAGACTGACCTGTCACTACAAGACTGGGCAACACAGTTGCTCGGATTCAGAAAGTACAGGGTAACAAGATCCTATCTGCTTCATTTACTGACAAAGCTAATTTATTTCTGTTATTCATTAAAATTTATAAACTAATACAACTACAAGACCGAACTGGATTGTTCTCTGCTATAAAAAGAACTGTGAATTAGAACTATCAATTACTATAAAATTATAATATCTGCTACAGGTGAACAAGCCACAGAAAAATTTGTTATACTGTCAGATCCCGGACTGAAGCTCCAGACCACAGTACAGAATAATTATTTAGATGTAAAATTAACATCTCCGAGAGACAGAACATGCAACATTCATTTTCATATAGCTACTGTACAGCATGTTATTAAAAAAAGCCTGCATGTGTCCTTGATACTATACACCATATAATATTTTAAAGTGAGTGATCACAATATACATCAATTGCAGTCTCAGATCATATGCACCAGACATAGCAAGAGCTCTATCAGAACAGTAAAAACTGCACCATCTTGCAGGACATTGAGGTGGATCTAGCTGCAGTCGCTACTGGAAGCAAGAAGAAAACCGTTCCCTTGAGATCACAGCTTAACCCGAGGCAGTTCTTTTGGTTAGGAACAGATTGCAAACCAGTGCTCTACAGTCTGTGGACCACTGGAGGTCTCTTCAAACAAAAGGTCTGCAAATGGTACTTAAGAGAAGCAAGCTTATTGTCAGAAGACTTCAGTTCCCTTTACAGGAATTGTTTTTTTTTAGGTAGTTGGCGAATTGATGGGGGTTGAAAAGCACTCTGATTTCTTATCAAGAATTTCCACATGGAAAAAGTATAAATAAATCCATCAAACCTGGTGCGCTAGGTGAGCCCCTATGGCAGCCACAGCTGAGTAATACGGGAACGTCTGGTTACAATTCATTCCGGCCACGCACAAACTCAGGAGCATTGCAAGGCTGAAGCCACTGAGCCACTGCTTCGTATCCTCCTTGAACTGTAATGCTGTTGACTTCACACCGATAATGATGTCGTCCCTCTTATCCTAGAAAGAAAGGGTGAATTAGCAAAACATCCACAATCCAACTGCCGCTTCATAAGAAAAATAAAAAGGGGGGCCTTGCTTAAGTTTCCAACACTGCTTATTAAGAACCCAATTTAAGTGCGTTTGTAGGTCCCTACATTAAAATTTAAATTAGCTTGGTCCTTAGAGCTGCTTTAGCAGCCAAGAGCTAATACCAACGTCACAGTTATTTACACAATGCAAATGCGTAAGCACACAAAGTGCATTATACTTCCAGCTTTCTACCTGATATGTAAAACATTTGCAAAGAGCAATAAAAGGTCCAAGGGCTGGGGTGTCTTTGGTGCTGTTTTAGCTCAGCTGAGGGTAAAGAACTGCAACAGGTTAGTACTGCTGTTTGACAACAAAGTTGTAAGTTAAATACGCAAACATACACAGATATCTAAAATTTCCCACTGTTACTCTACCTGATGTGCGTAAATGGTATCATATACCAGCGTCCACATTACTCCAGCTAAGTACAAGGGCAAACACACAGACCACTCACACGACCCTCTGACGGCAGACCAGCCAAGAAGGGCTCCCCAATTAAATGTAAGTCCTAAAAACATAAAGAGAGTTAAAAAAAAAGTTACAAGATTGGCAGGAGCAATCTCAATTACATGTATAGAATTAAATATTACTTGTTCGAGTGTATATCATATCAGCAGCTTTTTGTACAATACTGGCATCTCTATTACCACTTATTTTCAGTCAGGTAATAAATACAAGTAATTTGACATTAAATACTCTGGGCGTACAAGGAGAAATATGTATAGGCACGCGTTTTTCCCCACATTAAATTTGACTTAATTAGCACAGGGAAACATTTGCACAGTATTATTCCATTGTACTCAAACAAGGGATCTAAAGTTAAAACGTAAAGTCTTAAGTAAAAAAGTCAGATGTCAGTATAACAAAAGACGCCAGTATAACTGACTGCAAAAGAGTGCAGAGCAGCCAACCATGGTACTTCAAAGCTGAAAATGTCAATTTTGGTTGGAAAAGCTGAAGGCAGCTGGAATGTGAAGGCCAAGATACAAAGATATGCTTTAGTACCTCAACCTGAAATACAAGCACCATCAGTTTCTGCACAGGAGTTATTTTAGAGGCTGAAGACTGAAATGCAGGACAAATGGACGCTTAAGAAAAGTTTCGAGATAACCCTGAAACTAAAGCTGATTCTCAAATGACAAATATTTATTTTCTCCCTCCCCTCACTCTGTCAAAATAAGGAACTGATTTTTAACAAAAAAAACCCCAACAAACCCAAACATCAGCTCTTATATGTGGTATAAATTGTTTAGGAACCTTCTGGCACAACAGAACTTTGTCTATAAGGTATTCTTATTTTAATATAAAGTTATAAAAAAATCAGATTGCTGAGGTTCAATTACTAATTTGTAAAACACCCCAAAAACTACATCTATAGAAAAAAATAGTAAAAATATTTCCAGCTCACCCAAAACTAACTGTGGCCAATACGTTATTCTCTTCATCAGAGGGTAGGTGATCACAAGAGACAAAGAGGCCGCTCCCAGAATGATACTGTAAAAAGTAGCAAGAGGTTTATTGTTTGCCAGTCTAAAGATCACAAGATATAGTGCAGCATTACATGAGCTGTACATAGTACTGAACTAATTCTTTTACTTTCAAATACAATTTCATGAGTAATAACCTCCTCCCTCTGCCCCCAACACCTTTTCTGCTGAAAATCTCTGTGCTTAACTCTGGACCTGGAATCAAATTTAAAAAAACCAAAAGATAAATTTATACGTCACCTATAGTAATTCAGACACAAAAGCACACAAAGTGCCAAGCTAAGCTGTCCCCCAAGAAAAATGAAGGACTGAAAAGTGGAGATATCTCCAGCTGCCAGGGGCCTACTTGCTGTCCTCGCAACCTAAAAATGGAAAGAATAATGTTAATACCAAATCCAACATAACACATTCCAATGTATCTTAAAACTAAAAGTCACACCATTGACATATAAGCGGAAAACAGAAACAGCTCACAGAATGTATCAGACAGGGTTCCTTCAACAATACAAACCTAGCATATCATCACAGACGTGAGCTGTATTTCTAAGCAGAAGCGCTTGTAATAGAAGCATGCAGGCTTTAAAAACTAGAGCAGAAATAAAGCGCCACTTGTGTGCAATGAGGCTGATGAGAAACACTGGAGACATCTTGTATATGAGCTTTATTACCTTAGGGGAAAAAAAAAATCAGACTTAAAAAGTTGTGAGCTAACTATCACAATTTCGAGCAGCACTTCTGTGCTGAAACGCTTTGAAGTGATTACCATGTAAAATATCGTAAAGATGCAGGGCAATAGTGAAAGGACAAGTAATTTAACCCTCATCGGGATACAATGGAGTTTAGAAACTCTGTCTGGAACAAGAAATCATACAAGGCAAACTGAAGGAAGAAACAAATATCAGAAAAAAATTAAACTGAAATGTATGGTGAGTTACTTGCCAAAGGCGACCATTGCCAAAAAAAAAAAAAAAGACAAAAGTTGTTGATGAAAACGGTATAAAGTCTATTCAAAGACATTCAAAAGCCAACTTTTTACAGAATACTATGTATGTATAAAGTGTTTGCATATGCTTTAATAATGTGAATTTAAATAAACTTTTAGTTTGTTCTCCCCCCCAATCAGGTTATGTTAAATGTTAAATACTGCTTTTGCAATTTAAACATGCACTTAACATCTTTGTGACCAATTCCACTGCACGTCGTAACCAAACATGGGGTCTTTCATTTAAAGAAAAGAAAACATGTCCCAAATAATCAGTAACATAAAATCTAAAACCCCAGACAACCATCACCAACACAAGTCAATATCCTGCTCTTGACCTGGCCTCTGTCGCACTTGTTTTGAAGCTATCCTTTTAAGATATTTAAGAAAGAGCTGAAATGGGAATTTTCAAAACTTTACATCTAACCGCATCCCATTAATGCATAAACGAATGAATTATATTGAAAATTCCACCTTACTAATCACACACCCAACCTTGTCAAATATTTTTAGCCTATGTAGTTGTGAATAACCTCTGAACCCTAAACCCTCCAAAGCTGCCACAAAACTCGTACTGATTCATTGCCTTCCCAACAGCACAAACACAACAGCGCTATACAAAGAACTTCACACATCAGACTGGCTCATTATCCGGTCTCTTGCCGACGCTGAAACCTAAAACCAGAGGAACACTATAGGAACATAAAACAGGACAAGCAAACAGTGACGCATCACCAGGATACTCCCCTCCAAGCCTGCACCTGTGCACATTGCAACATCTGACCCTGGGCACTGCCTTTTGCTTATTTCCCTCTTCTGAACAAAAGGGAGATGAAAAGTACAACATAAGAGAAGAGGATTAGCTCAGGTTTGGGCATGATACTCTTAACAGCCATTCTTATGTTATTATGTTAGGAAGAAATTAACAACACTCAAGGAAACTCTGCTCCTGAAAACTAGAAAAAAAAAAAAAAAAAAAAAGAAGTGGTTCTTGGGTAGATTGTTGTTGTGGTTTAACTCCAGTTGGCAACCAAGCACCACACAGCCCTGCCGCTCACTCACCCTCCCTGCCCCCGGTGGGATGGCAGAGAGAATCTGAAGAGCAAAAGTGAGAAAACTCATGAGTTGAGATAAAAACAGTTTAATAATTGAAATAAAAAAAGGAAAACAATGAGAGAGAGAGGGAGGAACAAAGCCCAGGAAAAACAAGGGATGCAACTGCTCACCACCCACTGACTGATGCCCATCCCATCCCCGAGCAGTGGTCCCCCCTCAGGGCCAACTCCCCCCAGTTTATATACTGGGCATGACGTCATATGGTACGGAACAGCCCTTGGGCCAGTCTGGGTCAGCTGTCCTGGCTGTGCCCCCTCCCAGCTTCTTGCTGGCAGAGCAGGGGAAGCTGAAAAGTCCTTGACCAGTGTAAGCACTATTCAGCAACAACCAAAACGTCAGTGTGTTATCAACATTATTCTCATCCTAAATCCAAAACACAGCACCATACCAGCTACTAGGAAGAAAATTAACTCTGTCCCAGCCGAAACCAGGACAATCGTAACCGGCAAGTGTAACAAAAAAGTGTTATTTATTTTGTTCTGTCATGCAAAACAAAGTTGAAAAATAAACTTGTTCAGGTACATGTATTTTATCTTACACAAAGGTAAGTGTTCTAGAAGACTTATTACAGTCCTCCACAGAAAGTGTTTTACAAAATAAAATGATTTCTACTATTCTAGGAGGAAACGCAGACAAATTAACTGCATGCATCTCAGGCAGAAACGCGGAGGAATTTCTGCACCTGGAGCCCTGTGCCTGCACTCAGCAAGGAATCACTGGTGATGAGTGTACTCGGTTCATTAACCAGCAATTCACTTCCCTAGGTCTTTGCAAGCCCACGGGGGTTTCTCCACCTTTTTGTCATAGTCGCGATCCCACATGTCATTGATGGTGCAGCCGGCTCCCCGCATGAGCACCGCTCCGACGCCGAAGAGGGACAGCGTGTGCCAGTCGGGCAGGCAGCCCGGCTCGGCCGCCCAGCCGGAGGTCCCGGGGGCCCGCAGGGGCAGGCG